AGGGACGCGGTGTGAGGCTGCCCTGTTCCCTCTCGTTGAACAGACCGTGGCCACGTTCCCGCCTCGGACCGATTGGCAGCAGGGGCGTTGGGGTGCTGTTGGAAAGGCCAGACCCAAGAGTGGGGGCTCCTCTCCTGGAAATGGGTTTCCCCCCCCCAAAGGCCAGGTTCTGCGTTGGCCAAGACATCCGGGAGGGGAAGTGAGGAAGCCACGGAGGACGCAGGGAGGGGAGCATCTGCCCCATGGGGTGATGGGGGGCCAGCCCCTCTCCAGGCAGTCGCTCCCCTGGGAACAGAAGCTACCGGGGAGGGGGGGCCTTCAACCCGTCGCCCGGGGACCGTGACTCTGGGGCGGCTTTGAGTTCATGGTCTCTGGGGACTGTCCCAAGCCATAGATGGCCCAACATGTATTGGGGAGGGGGGTTACATATTTGATCTGCTTTCTTTCTTTCTTTCTTTCTTTCTTTCTTTCTTTCTTTCTTTCTTTCTTTCTAAATTTTTATTAATAATACAAAATTAAAAACACATTGGACATAGATATGATGCCACTGGGTCCATACATCTTCCAACATTTTACAATAGTCTTAGTACTCATGTAGACATACAGTACAATTCTTGAACTTTGCTCACTATTTATAATATACTATTAACACTTTTCCCCTTATTTTTATATATCTATTTATCTTTTAAATATACATTGGTCTATAATCTATATTTTATAGATTATATGTATAGCACTATACATTTGTCTTGGCTACCCTCTTATTGTCTATCCAATCATAAAATTGTTCCCAGATTTTATAGTACTTGGTTTCACTTTTGTCCTTAAGTTCCCATGTAAGTCTATCCATTTAAGCGCAATTGAAAATGTTCAATAATATTTCCTCTTCGGTTGGAGTAATCTTTCTCTTTCCATTTTTTGAGCGAAGGCTATTCGTGCCGCTGTTACTATATGCAGTAGTAAATACTTTGTGCCTTTCTTATATTTTCTTTCTATAATTCCCAATAAGAAAAATTCCGGTTTGGCTTCTATATCTATTTGCCAAATTTCTTCCAACCACTTCTTTAATTAAAGTCCCAAAATTTTTGTGCCTTTGGGCATCGCCACCACCAGCATATCGAGGATTTCCCCTTGTTCATTCGTGCTAATCTTGTGGGAGGGAGGTGCCACCTACAGTATAAAACATCTTTTAGAGGTTTTCCTTATAGGAGGTGGCTAGAGTAGTTTCTCTGGGCAGTTCTGGTGTGACACGGCATCCGAGGGGGTGAACGTCAGTCCGTAGCCACGGAGAGAGATGCCTGCTTGCCCATCGTCTTTCTGCTGCCACCCACCTGTGTGGGGAGACGGGCACGTTCGGTCAGCCTGCCTCAGGGGACCCCTGGCCCAGTTGGACCTGGGACTCTGCTCGGGGTGACCCAGTTCCTTGCTGGGGAGGGACAGTCCACGAGACCACCTACTTGCCGGTGGCAGGCTAAAACCTACGAAGAACAGTTGCGGGAACTGGGTCTGCCTTGTCTAATGAAAAGAAAGACTAGGGGGGATAGGATAGCAGCCTTCCGATATCTGAGGGGCTGCCCCAAAGAAGAGGGGGGGGGTCAAGCTATTCTCCAAAGCACCTGAAGGCAGGACAAGAAGTGACGGATGGAAACTCATCAAGGAGAGAAGCAACCTGGGATTAAGGAGAACAATTAACCAGAGGAACTGCTTGCCTCCAGAAGTTGTGTCTGCTCCATCAGTGGAGATTTTTACGAAGAAACTGGACAGCCACCTGTCTGAAATAGTATAGGGTCTCCCGCCTCAGCAGGACTAGATGACCTCTGAGGTGCCTTTCAACTCTGTTATCCATGCTGGCTAACAAAGTTGCTTCGATTTACCCAGCAGGAGTCCACCTGGGATACGTTGCGTGGGACACAGCCTTGGGGTGTTACCTGGGCCGAGATGGACTGAGTTCGAATCTGAGACTCCTGAAGAGAAGGGGCGAAGGGTCGCCGTGGTGGTGTTTTCAGAGCAGTGGGGCCAGCCCAGTCGCCTTCCCTCTTGCACCCGTGCCTGCGCTGGCCGCTTCTTCCATAAAGGAGTTGGCGTCGGCCGCTGTGAAAGTTCAGACAAGCGAGAAGTGGGAAGCCGTGCTGGGCAGGGCGTGTGAAGAGGGTTTCGCTCTCCCGTCAGGGCAGGAGGAAGACGGTTCCCGTTTGAGGACTGGAAAGGGCATCCATGAGCCCAAACTCCAGATGGGAAGGTGGAGCTGCCCACTCAGGAGAGCGAGGGGTTCAGCCCCCACCAAGGAATGAATGAAGCCCCCGTGGCTATTTAATGGGTTCATAGAGTGTGGGGGGGGTGGCTTAAGGAACGTTCCACCAAGGGCTAGAAAGCCTGTGGCTGAACGCACCACATCTCGTGTGTGCAGAGACGGGGCTCCGTGGCACTGTGGGTGTGGCCGGTTCAGAGGGCCACGAAGATCAGAGTGATGCGAGACCCACAAAGGGGAACATTTGTGAGATCCGCAGACGGAGGCGCAGGGGGGACAGAGAGGAGTGAGCGGGTGGCCTTTTTTTAGAAGGGGGGATGGATGGAGGAGGGCTAAAAGGCCCAGAGGCTGATAGGATACGGGGCAGTTTGGGGGGTCTGTTGGCAAGGAGCAAACATGGCGGGCTGACAAATCGGCTTCCGCCCACCTTTTCGCGTGGGAAGGAAAGCCGGGCACGTCAAGGGGCCGAGGAATTCAGTGGGAACGGTGGGACGTCTGGACGATCGCAGAGCAAAAGACTCGGGAGAAGAAAGGACGGGCGCGGAAGGGCCACGCAGGCCGCTCAAGGACCGAGGGGCTGGCTCGGTCCTCAGGAGAGCCGGAAGGCAGTGCAGGCGGAAGCCGCGCCTGGGTGGAAAGGATGAGATCCCGAAAAAGGGAACGGCCGGGAGGTGGCAAGAGTCCATCCCGAAGCAACGGGCAGGCACGATGGGAGCAAAGCGGGCAGAGGAAACGGCAGTGCCCGTTTTGGGTTTAAGAGTCCCTTCACTTTTTCCCTGGATTCCAGTTTCTGACCGTTGTCTGTGCTTGTTCAAGGAACCGGCCTAATCGTTAGAGGTCCCGGGAGTTCCCTCTCCTCTGGAGTGGAAGAGAGAAAGACGCTTTGGGGGTGGCCTGGCAATGCCCACGGCGCCTGCCCGCACCTCCTCGTGGGGTTATGGAATAACAGCAAGAGCCTCTGAAGGGAGCCGGGGGGGGGGGAGGTCTTCTGGTCCAACCTCCGAGGTGCCTTTGGACTATTCTGCTATTCTTTTTGGTGTCGACCTCCTACTATTTCAGACAAGTCCAGCTTCGTATTGCTAAAAGCCTCTGGTGATGGGGCACCCGCAGCTTCCACCGATTAACCGTTCTTGCCGTCAGGAAATTTCTCCTCAGTTCCAGATTGGGTCCCTCTTTGACGAGAGAGATTTCTTAAAGCAGCGGCTGGTCCAGGGGCAGGGGAAGATACACCTCTCTGAACAAGGTGCCGACCCCACTCCTGGCAGGGTCTCCTTAATTTTCCTGTGTGTTTTCCTAGCGTTGGGCTGCCTTGCCAGCCCAACAGCCGGTGCCCCGGCCCCCTCGTGGAGGCAGCGGGGGTCCCTCCGTGGCCTTGGACCTCGGATGGCCACTGGGTGTCGTGGTGTCAATCCGTGGCTCCCGCATCCGTCCTCTGATCTGTCCGGATCAAAGTCGTTGATATAAACGTGGATGAGCAGGAGGGCCCGGACCGACCTTCATCTGGAGGGAGCCAGGAGTCGGACTGCGGCCCCCTGACCGCGGTCGCTGCGGGAGAGATGTGGGGGGGGGAGACGTGTTTTGTCAAAGGCCTGGCGGCTAAAAGGAAACTGTTTTATGCCTCCAGCAGTTCAAATTTGCCTTGGTGGCTTCGGGTAATTGCTTTATCCTGGAGTGAAACGAAGGGCTATTTGTGGTTTCCTTGGTGCTCTCCTTCCCAGCGTTTCACACACCCAGCGAGGTAACATCGTTGGTCCCGGCACTGAGGCGGTTACCTAGTTTGGTAATGAAATGTCGGCCAGAGCTACGGTTCAGCCCTGAGCCGTGAATATTTTCTCTTATGGCCTCCTGAGGGGGACGTCCAACGAAGGGCCCGGACCCTCCTGCCGATGGATGGGGCTTGGTCCTCCAAGAGGGGAGGGTGGCCATGGCAGAGGGCCCTCCCTCGGACAGGAGGCGGGCAGTTCCTCCATTCGAAAGCCTTGGGAACCAGCCGGCCTTCCCTGCCCTGCTTCTGTAGGGGGTCTGCCGCCTGCCTGGGCCACCACCTGGCAGGCGCCTCTTCCATGGTCCGCCCTTCCCATCTTCCCACCCAGTCCCTCCTCCTCCATCACCATCACCTCTTCCTCCTCCTTCTTCTCCTTCTTTTCCTTCCTCCTCCTCCTCTTCTTCTCCTCCTCCTTTTCCTCCTCCTCCTCCTCCTCCTCCTCCTCCTCCTCCTTCTTCTTCTTCTTCTCCTTCTCCTTCTCCTTCTCCTCCTCCTCTTTTTCCTTCCTCTTCTTCCTCTTCCTCTTCCTCTTCTGCTTCTTCTCCTCCTTTTCCTTTTTCTTCTCCTCCTCCTCTCCTCCTTTTCTTTCCTCTTCTTCCTCTTCCTCTTCTCCTCCTCCTTTTCATTCCTCTTCTTCCTCTCCTCCTCCTCCTCCTCTTCTTCTTATTCTCCTCCTCCTTTTCTTCTTCTTCTTCTTCTTCTTCTTCTTCTTCTTCTTCTTCTTCTTCTTCTTCTTCTTCTTCTTCTCCTCCTCCTCCTCCTCCTCCTCCTCCTCCTCTTTTTCCTTCCTCTTCTTCCTCTTCCTCTTCCTCTTCTGCTTCTTATTCTCCTCCTCCTTTTCCTTTTTCTTCTCCTCCTCTCCTCCTCCTTTTCCTTCCTCTTCTTCCTCTTCCTCTCCTCCTCCTCCTCCTCCTCCTCCTCCTCTTTATCCCCCGTGGTGGGTCCCCTCCGCTTGCTGTGGCACCCCTCCTGGCCTTTGGGGGAGCGATGGCGGATTCCCAAGAGAAGGGGGTCCCCCCCAGGAGGGTCTGTCGTAGGAAAGGGCTGGTGCTGGTCCTGTTGCTTCTCGGCTGCCCCGGGATCCACCGGCTCCCCCTCCCGCTTGCAGACCTCCTCCTTCAGCCCTCGGTTAGAGAGGCCACAAGTGCGAGTTAGGCCTTTGGCCGCCTTTAGTGGGCCTCTCACAAAATGGCTGCCCCAGGGAAGGGCTATGTGTTCCCAAAATGGCTGCCGGAGACCACTTGACCACCCGGCAAGCTCATGAAATTCCTCCTGGGCTGCTCTCTGCGGCCTCCGACCATCTCCTCCTTTCTCCCTGGCAAGGTGGGCCGGTTTCCCACAGGCGGCCCCAGAGCGGCAGCCCTCCTCCATTTTCTTTTCCTGGGATGGGAAGGAGGATCATTCTTAGGTCATTCTCCCCGGCCTTTCCGTGCCCCTTGGCAGCTCCCCAGCGCCCCAGTTTGGAGCATTGTGAATGTTTACAAAAAGTCTGCAGGCGCCCCCCCCCACCCTATCTACTCCCGGCCGAGGCCCTCTTGCTGTCTGCCCCTTGCCCCCCCCATTGGCTTTCTGCTCTTCCAGTTGCTCCCCGGGTCTCTGGGCGTGGAGGAGGGGGTCTCCGCCCTGACCGCCCCCCTACGTCTCGAGGGGGGCTCTCTGCCTTGGCCTCCAGGTCTGGGTGTGGAGGAGGGGGTCTCCGCCCTGGGTCTCTCCAAGTCTCCGGGGAGGGGGGGAGGCTGAGGGGGCAGCAGGAGAGAGGGGGGGAGTTTCCGGAAGAACCGCGGGAGAGTCTGCTGAAGAAAACCGGGGGGTCGTTTGGGTCTCGGGATCCGTCCACCTGGGGGTTTGGCCCTTTGCACCTTTGGGGCACCTCCTGCAGGGCTCCCTTCCCGGTCTGTGTGTGTGTGTGTGTCTGTGTCTGTGTTTGTGTGTGTGTGTGTGCTTCACGATTGAAGGACAGCACAAACTTTCTTGGGGTGTTTGGAGACCCCATAAGAAGCAGACCCACCAAAGGGTTGCCTGGCCGGCCCCTGTGAAAGACGCGGGCTGCTCCGCGGAGAAGCATTCGGACGCCCTCCGGCCTGGCTGGCTCTGGGCCTCTGCGGCTGTCCGACTTGCAAGGGCCCCGGCTCTGAGGGGGAGAAGAGAGGGGGGGAACATTCGGCTTCCCTTGGCCGGATTCGAGGCATCGTCCTTGGCCACCCGTCTCCCCTCCGGCCCCCGATCGGCTCGAGGGCACGGAAGGGATCCCGGTCAGAAGGCTCCAGCACCTGGGCCTCTTTGCCACCTTCTCTGTCAGCCGCGGCTCCGGGTCAAGGGGCCAGCCGGGCGGGTGGATGGCTCAGGGTGGCCGGTGCCCCTGCGGGGCCTGTTTCATTAACCGTCCCCCCATGCGTGCCGCTCCAATTCCCCCACGGCTGATGCCCCTCTCTTCTCCCCCCATCCAGCGTCCTGGGATGCCCTCCGGCGCTCGCATGCCCCACCAGGGGGCCCCCATGGGTCCCCCGGGCCCCCCCTACGTCGGAAGCCCCTCCGTGCGCCCCGGGATGCCACAGGCGGTGATGGAGCCCACGCGCAAGCGGGCCGCCCCCCAGCCGCAGCCACAGCAGCCACAGCAGACGCCGACGCAGGCACCGCAACAGCAGACGCCGCAGCCACAGCAGACGCCGACGCAGACGCAGGGCACTGCCCAACAGAACCGGTCCCGGAGGTGAGCGGGCGGCCGGACGCAGGAGTGACGGGCGGGCAAGGCAGGCACCGAGGCCTTGGGGCTGCCAGCTCCGCTTTCCCAGAGCCAGAGGGGTGGTGGCCAGAGGGGGGGACAAATGGGGGCACACAGGGGCCCTCCCTCTTCCCGGGTTGTTTCCCGCGGCAGGGGCTGGAACTGGAGGGCAGCCTTGTGAGCCTGAGTGGGGGGCCGGATGCTCCCATCTGTCTGCCTGGCACCTGGATGGCGGGGGGCTGCCCGGAGGAGGGAGGGAAGGAGGGAGGGAGGGAGGGGGGCACCTGCTCTGCCAGCCCAGTCTGTGGAAGCCATTCAGGCAGCCCCCCCCCGAGGCCTGAGGTGGGGCCCGCGATTCTCACCCTCTGGCTCTGTGCCAACTGGGATGCCCTATAGGTCTCCTGGGCCGCAGGCTCCTAGGGGGCAACCGGGGGGACCCACCGGGAGCCGGTCCTTGGCCCCATCCCTGGGAGTTTGTGGGGGGGAGAAGGAGAGACCCCAGAAGCCCTCCCGGGACCAAGACCCCCACACACACCGTGGCGGCAGCTGTAAGGGGAAGCCATAGGGGGGCTCCTTCTAAGGCCGGGCTCAGCAGCCGGGCTGGGGTGGGGTGGTGGCTTCCTCTGACCGCTGCTCTCCCCCGGGGGCCTTGGCCTCTCTTTCCTTGCACAGTGTGAAGAGGAGGAAGATGGCGGACAAAATCCTCCCTCAAAGGGTGAGCGGCTCCTTCCTGCTTTGTCCCCCCCCCCGGGTCGGAGGGTCCCCCGAAGCCCCAGGGTTGAGGAGGGGGAGGAAGAGGAGGGGGAGGAGGAGGACTGCGGGGTCCTGGGTGCTCTCTGAGCTGGGTGGATTCCTTGCAGACGTTTCATGGCCAAACTAGGTAATGTCATCAGTTCTAGAAAGGAGCGGAGGTTTGGGAGGGGGAGGGGGAGGAGGGAGAGGAGGAGGAGCTGGGCTGAGGCTGCTATTTCCTCCGTGCCCACCTGCCCACCCACCTGGGTGTAGCTGTGAGGACGCAGCCTTTCCTGGGGGGAGGGAGGGAG